CAGGCATTAGAAGTTCCCAGCATTTGCACTAAAGGATGTTAAAGGAAAACTGGCTGGCTGATATATTGTATCAGTAGAATCTTGAACATGGCATCCCATTATATTCCATTATATCCCTATTATCAGGGATATAATACGAGGTGAGAGAAACTGATTAGAGAAGAGAAACCCGTTTGCAATGAGTATAATGAACCTGTCAGGACTAAACTCTGATTTCTTAAAGGGGTTAGGGATTGAAGGACTGGCAGTGCATTTGAGATAAGTATAAACCTAAGAGTATAAATCATTGTTTTCTGTGAAATGTAAAGATCTTGAAGAATTTCATTGTTAAAGTCCAATAAAGTACTAGGTAATCATTTTATGATACTGCATTTATAACATTTGGCCTCGAATATATCCCTTTGCAAATCGAGCCATCAATGATATGAATCACAAAATGAGGGATAATTTACCAGGTTTCCTCACCTGTCACACTTCTTAGAGTTACTTTGTAAGATTTCTGTGGTCACTAATTACATGATCTGTGTTAAGAAGCTGTGCTGTTATGATTATGCAATTTTGTGTGTGGCTATATTTTATCTCAGTTGGAATAGCTGTCGTTCATAATTCTTCTCCTTATTATTGTACTATTGTCTGTAATAAGATTATGGAAAATTTACACTGTGTTTGTGCAGATGAATATAAAATGATGTAGGAATCCACATAGTTTGAAGATATGTAAATTCTACATTTTGAAGCTGGACAAACCTTGATGAGGTGCCAGAAACCTATGAGTGTGCTTAGAATTCAGGCATGCACCTTTATTACAGAGTAGCTCTGGTTTGATGTGTGATGTTGGCAACAGTGAGGTGATTTTCAAAGGTGTGTGCATGTGAATTTCTCCTAATCACCCCACATTTTTTTAAGACTTACAAATAATTTTCTTGGGACGCCTGGGTGGCTCAGTGGGTTAAAGCCTCTGACTTCAGCTCAGGTCATGATCCAAGGATCCTGGGATCGAGCCCCACATCGAGCTTTCTGCCTACTTGTGATCTCTGTCTGTCAAATTAATTAATTAATTAATTAAAAAATAATTTTCTTAATTGCTGTTACTCAGTGGCATAATTTGAATCCTATAACTTTCTTGCTCTGCACATGAAGGCAGGTATTTTTGTCCATTTTGTTTACTACTCTATACCCAATACCTAGAACAGAGCCTCACCTGTAATAAGTCCTCAACAAATATTTGTGAAATGAATGAATGAACTCCCAGTGCTCACTGTTTATCTATTTAATTCATTTAATGGAAGTTTATTGAAAACCTGTTATGAGCCAAGCTCTAGGGTATAGCATTTTGTAAGACAAGATGTTGGCTTTTAGGGGGCTTTTGTACTAGTGGAATAGAAACTGCTCAGTAAACCACTAACCAAATAACTACACAAAATAATTTCAAATAGTGACAAGTGCTAGGTAAAAAATAAAATAGATTGATATGGTAGAAACTATGTGAACATACCCTAGAATTTGCTGGTCAGGGAAGGTTTCTCTGAAAAGATGACATTTGAGATAATGGAATAATAAGGAGCTAGTCCCCTAAATAAAACCCATGTAGAGAGATAAGTTTCCTAGATTTTATAAAATGCATTTTAAAGCCATCTACCTGCATAAAATCTCCCAAGGTTCAAGAATCTTCTCCGGGGGGAAAAAATTACCTGGCCGGAAAAGGTTACTGACTACTTTTTTCTCTTGAATTTTTTTCTCTTGGTTATCCTTCACTGTGATTTCTGTTAAAACTATTTGTTCATCCTCCAGCATTTCTTGTATTGTGATTCATTATTTCTGTTCTTACTTTTGTTTCCTTTTTTTTTTTTTTTAATTTTCTTTGAGTTAACCCTGCCTTTTCACATTTACTTGGACACATACTAATTTTCAGTCTTTTCTGTTGTAGGTATTTAAAGGTCTGCGTTTTTTGGTCAATACAATTTTGCCTATATTCCAGAGTTTTAACATACAATGTTTTGGTTATACTTCACTGCTATTTTCTGGTTTTTGTTATGATTGCCTAACCCACAAATTACTGAAGCTCTTTAAAATTTGCAAGTACATTTCTATATTACTGATTCTGATTTAACTGAAATTTGTAAGACTTGATTTATGATGTTCTCAGTAATAGTCCATTCTTTTCATTTTCATGTCAATTGCCTATATGCTTCAAAACAGTATGTATATTTTCTAATTATTAGGTGCAATATTCTTTACATGGCTATTAAACCAAGATTATTGGTGGTGGTGTTAAGATCTTCCATATCCTTGATGATTATTGTCTACTTGTTCTGAGAAATAGACCATCAAAATAATGGGTTTGGCATTTTCTCTCTGTAACTTTTTTTTTTTTAAGATTTTATTTATTTATTTGACAGAGAGAGATACAGTGAGAGAGGGAACACAGGCAGGGGGAGTGGGAGAGGGAAGCAGGCTTCCCACTGAGCAGAGAGCCCGAGGTGGGCTGGGATCATGGCCCAGGGCCCTGGGATCATGACCTGAGCTGAAGGCAGATGCTTAACGACTGAGCCTCCCAGGTGCCCCTCTCTGTAACATTTTAAAATCTAATTTTATTTTCTCTCTTTTTAATATGCAAGCTTAGTTCATTTATATTTATTTTATTAATATATTTGGATTATTTCTAACAATTTATTTTGTGTTTTCCATTACCCCTACTTCTTACCTACTTCCCTTGAAGTGAGGGTCTTTCAGTCTTTGCCTGAAATATTAGCCAAGGAGGTGAAAGATTTCTACCCTAAAAACTATAAAACATTGGTGAAAGAAATTTAAGATGACACAAATAAAAGGAAAGGTATCCCATGTTCATGGATGGGAAGAAGTAATGTTATTAACATATCCATACTACCTAAAGCCATCTTAAGATTCAGTGCAGTCTCTATCAAAATTCCTGTGGCATTTTTTACAGAAGTAGAAAAACTCCCGAAGTGTATATGGAACCACAGAAGAACCCCGAATATCCAAAACAATCCTGAAAAAGAATAAAAGTGGGAGGCATCACCACTTCCTGATTTCAAGCTGTATTATAAAGCTATAATAATCAAAACAGTATGGTTCTACACAAAAACAGAGACTTAGACCAATGGAAGAGAATTGAGAGCCCAGAAACAAACCAATGCATGTATGGTCAGCTAACATTTGACAAGGGAGACAAGAACACTCAATGCAAAAAGACAGTCTCTTCAATAAATTGGGCTGGGAAATTTGGATATTCACATGTAAAAGAATGAAATTAGACCCCCTGACCTTAAACACCACTCAAAAAAATTAACTGGTAATGGATTAAAGAGGAGAAACTACATAGAAATTTTTCCCTTCTGTGTTGATATTTATAGTAATGGAAAAATTGAAAGCTACCTAAATTCCTTATATTAAGAGAATTGTTAAGTAGTTTATGGTATGGTCATTTGTTGAAGTACTTTGAGTGATTAGTAGCATGGAAAAGTCTTTTTAAAAATATTAAACTTCGGGCGCCTGGGTGGCTCAGTGGGTTAAAGCCTCTGCCTTCGGCTCAGGTCATGATCTCAGGGTCCTGGGATCGAGTCCCGCATTGGGCTCTCTGCTCGGCAGGGAGCCTGCTTCCCTCTCTCTCTCTGCCTGCCTCTCTGTCTACTTGTGATCTCTGTCTGTCAAATAAATAAATAAAATCTTTAAAAAAAAAAAAAAAATATTAAACTTCGAAAGATACCAAATTGGAGATTTTATATATAATATAATATAATATAACTATATTTTATATATTTGTATTATATTTTATATATAATATAATATATAATAATATAATATAATTAATATAATATAATATGTAATATGTAATATATAATATAGTATATAATATAATATAAATATATAAATGTATTTTATATATTTATGTTATATAAAATATTATATTATATTATATATAATCTCTAATTATATATTATATATAATATAAATTATATTTATATATAAAATCTCCAATATATATTATTAGAATATATATAATTATATATAATATAAATAATATAATATAGAATATATAGAATATATATATGCCCCTTAAAATATATATATAAATATATGTACTTATATAAATACATATAAATATATACAATATGTATTTTTATATGTAAATTATATATAAATAATATTTATTTATATATATATATTTTTTAAAGGGCAAAATTAAGCCTATACATAGGGAACGAGACTAAGAAATTTATTAAAAATTAACAGAATTTATTATAGGATAGAAGGACTTCGGATTTTTTTCCAGTTTTCTGTTTTTTAGATGTCATAGAATTAGAATATATAATCTATATAATGAAAACTACTTAAAAGGGTGGGATTAGGGACGCCTGGGTGGCTCAGTTTGTTGGACGACTGCCTTTGGCTCAGGTCTTGATCCCAGAATCCCGGGATCGAGTCCCGCGTCGGGCTTCCAGCTCCACGGGGAGTCTGCTTCTTCCTCTGACCTTCTCCTCACTCATGCTCTCTCTCACTGTCTCTCTCTCAAATAAATAAATAAAATCTTTAAAAAAAAAAAAAGAGTGGGATTAATTTAACATATTCCCAGATATAATTTGAAATGTCCTACTAATTCAGGTATGCTCATCTCAAGCTCTTATCATCAATTTATACTTAATCTTAAAAAAATGAAATACTTAGCAACAAATGAACTAAGCATAAATCTGCCAAATATTGTTTGACTCTATCTTTGTTTCAGAGTGAAGTTTATTAACTTTCCAATAAAGGTGTCCCGCTGTATTTCCTCGAGGAAAGTGAAGTAACACTTTTTTAACGAACGTGTAAACTGTGTAATCCCATTTTCCTTCCCGTTCTCATTAAGCTTAAATAGCTCACATATTCTAGAAATATTTAGTATTTTGTTATACTGATGTGCCCTATTTTGATTGTTGTTTGCTCTATTATTTTGTTTTTTTGTTTTGTTTTGTTTTAATACTTCTTTCTCTCATTTTAAGGTCATTCTGGTACAAGTTAACCCAGGGGAAGCATTTACAATAAGAAGAGAAGATGGACAGTTTCAGTGCATTACAGGTAAGAATGGTAATTTGTTATCCTTTGAGATGACAAAAATTTATGGTACATAAAAGTTTATACACTTATGGTTTCTTCCTTTCTTTCTCACTACTTCTGCCACACCAACGCACAGACTCTGAATTCCTTATGACTTAGTCTAGTAGCATCCTTTTTAGTCTCTTTTCCCTGGTTTCTTGATTAATCTTACATTCCCCTTCTCAGAAATCTTCAGTGAATTCAATTCAGGTTCCTCTGTCTTTTAAGAAAATTATTGCATCTTGAGGCGCCTGGGTGGCTCAGTGGGTTAAAACCTCTGCCTTCGGCTCAGGACACGATCTCAGGATCCAGGGATCCAGCCCCGCATTGGGCTCTCTGCTCCGCAGGGAGCCTGCTTCCCCCTCTTTCTCTCTGCCTGCCTCTCTGCCTACCTGTGTGTGATCTCTGTGAAATAAATAAATAAAATCTTAAAAAAAAAAAAATTATTGCATCTTCCTTGTCTTGCTTTCACTTTCCCTTTAATATTGTGTCCCTTTATCTTGCTAAGTTGGCTTATTCACTATCTTCTTGAATCTCTCTTGTACTTTCTGTACTATTCTTATCTGTAATCTGTCCTTACCTCCGCCATCCCTAGCCTGTCCAAATCCTACCAATGCTTCAAGACTGAGTTCAGATCTTATCTGTAAAAAAATTTTTGTAAAGTCACTAGCCATCCCCCCCCGCCCAGCAGTTATGATGAACAAAAATGTTTCCAGGTATTACCGTATGTCCCTGGGGGAGGTGGGGGCAAAAGCACCCACAGTTGAGAACCACCACCCTATGTAAAGAGAAGAGCAGTAAAAAGATAGTCACTGACTTTGGTATTAGAGAACCTGGGTTTAAATCCTAGCTCTGCTATTTAACCTCTAAGAGGTACATTTCTCATCAGTAAAATTCCCTTTCTTATGAATAATATTACACCTCTTAGGATTGTAAGGGTTAACTAATATGCATGTAAGGCACTCTAAACCACATCTAGCACATACAAGGCATTCAGTAAATGGTATAAAGGATGTTGCGGTGTTGTTTAATAGAAAGTGACTGATTTTGAAACCCTTAACTAATTATTTATTATTCATTTAACAAGTAACTACATACTTCCTTATAATATTTGTTCCAGTTATATCTTTTAAGCCATTTAAATTTTGTGTGTTTAACTTGAAATGTTTATTCAGTTTCTCCAACTAAGTCCTAAGCACTTTGAGGGCAAATACCATTTCTTAAATTTCTTTGTATTCCCTTCAGTATTTGGCCTTCTACATATTGGGTGCCTAACTAGTAGTTGTTGTTTTAATTTGAAAGGAGCATGATAAGTAGGTTGACCAGGTGCTTTCTGTTCCAAACTGGTACTTCTGAGAGTGTAGGAGGACCCTGGCAACTACTACAAAACAACTTAACAGCCAAGATTGTACCAGGTAAACCAAGTCTTATGGTACCCCTCCATCTTACTGGCACAATCTAATCTATTTTATCAAAGAAGAAACAGACTTTACTCTTTCCAGAGAAGTAATTAGCTCAGTAATTAAAATTAAAATTTTTAGCCTGCTCTCCAAATCTTACATGCCTTCTATTCTCTAAGTCAACTTAAATCTGTGTATCAATTAAGGTAACTTCACACACAAATATTATGAGCTTAAAAGAAACCAGGTAGTAGAATTTATAAGCAGTATAGTGAAACTTTGCCTGTCTTTACTTGTTAATTAGGCTTTTATAAAATAATTCCATTTTCATATTGGATAACTCTTAGAATGTACGTTTCTAGTAGAGCACACATCTTAGGTTTATTTATATATTACTTAAAATTGTTTTCAATAAAAATTGTTTATGATGGAAGCATTTTAACTAGTATAACATTGATCTCAAATACATCTGCAAATGAGGATCCTCATTACTGTTAGAGTGTGACTTAAAATACAAAAAAACTTTAATTGCAGTTGGATAACCAGACTTTGAATTTTAAATAACTTCTATTTTAAAAGTTAATTTGTGAGAGACTATGGACTCTTGAGAAGCAAACAGGGTTTTGGAAGGAGGGGGTGGGGGTTAGGTGAGCCTGGTGGTGGGTATTAAGGAGGACACGTATTGCATGGAGCATGGGTGTGGTGCATAAACAATGAATCTTGGAACACTGAAAAAATAAATAAAAGTTAATTTGTAACTATAATTTGTGAATTTCCTCCCTTATAAAATATAGTAATCTGATTTTTATGTGGTAATTATCCCTTCAGTCAGGATAAAAAAAAAAGACTAATTTATAATGTGCCAGTAGTACTAACAATTTCTTAATAGTAGGAACTGACTACCATGTGAAGATATTTTTAGGCAGGGACACATTTCTCTGCTTCTGTAGGAAAAGGGAGACTCCTTTCTGAATGACAGAGTAGACTAGTGGAGACGTTTTAAAATTACTAGGCAGAGTTTTTAAAAACACAGGATAGGATAAGGAGAACCTGAAAAAAAGTAAAAAGCCCTCTCCTTTTTATGTTTTGTTTTTGTTTTTGTTTTTGTTTTTAATTAAAAGACAGGATGAAGGTGGAAGGAGTAGTAGTAAACAAGGGACTGGGGTAAAGTTTTTATTAAGACCAATGTGCCCTCACTCCAAACAAGAGAAGACAGGTTGAGAAAAGGCTAATGACTTCTCGAGCTCATCTTCTTCTTTTCTTCCCCTTTACTATCACTAGTTTCTGTTACGTGGCAGACATCTTCCTGAACTAGTTCTAGAGCTAGGTAAAAGTTAAGGAGAAGTAGAAGCAGAGGCAACAGATAACAAAGAGAAAGTCTTAAGGGAGGAAAATCATATGCCAGTGAAGCTCAGAATAAAATAGGATCCTTGGCTCTAAGGCTATCAAGTTAGGAAAACTTTTCTCTTCACAGCCCCTAGACCAATAAAGAAAACCTCAGTAGTAAAACCTGAAAACTGAGATAAATCCAGTGTAAATTAGTAAACATTTGAATTAAAGACTGTTCTTTTTTAAAGTAGTTTTATTATCTGTCAAGAATTTATAAAACAGAAACTAGGTTAACAAATCACAGGGAACTTTATAGATCTAGATAATCCCCTTATTTTACTGGAAGTCATAATTTGTGAGTTATAGCTAGTTATGGGCAGAGCTCAATATAATACTTTTTCTACTATAATATACTTACTGGAGAGACAAATTGTTAAATGCTTTTCTCCTTGAATTTACTAAGTTTCTCCTGAGGTATACTCTGCCAGCTGTTGGAAATACAAAGAAAACTAAGATACTGTTCTGTGACCATAAAGCTGTTAGTTTTGTTAGACCATTTATAATTTTTACCCGTGACTATTAATATTTAAATAAATGCTTAGGGTGACAGTTAAAAAAAAAAACAAACACAAAGTAGTAGGGAAGAAAGGAAGAAAATTAACAATTGTATTACAGTATAAAAAGAACTACAAGAGACATGCACAGGGTGTTGTGGAAGCAAAGGAGGATTACTGTGATGCAGAGTGATAGTCAGGAAGAAAATCTGTCAAGGAGAAATTGATTTGTGACCTGGCTTTAAGGACAATAGCAAATGACAAAAGGATCTCAAGGAAGCATTTTAGACAGGAAACATATACAAAAGCAACAGAAGGAAAGAATAGCTTGACTTTTTTGAATAACTACAAAGAGATCAGAATTTCTTAAAAAGTTGTATGAAAGGGATATAGATGTAAATGAATCTGAAAATGTAGACAGATCTTGAAATGGCTTGAATGCCATATGAAGAACTTTAACTTTATTGCAAAGGTGAGGAAGAGTCATTAAAGGAGATTATGTTGGAGAGTTAACATCTAGTTCACAGTTTGGAATGACTGGCGATGTCTTTACGATGTACTATATGCTGGCTAACTGAACATAATAAAAAAATTAATTAAAAAAAATGAGAAGATGGGCAGTGTCTTCCTTCCAATAAAATGGAACAAATATTCTTCTAAATGCAGTGCTGAGCTTCTCTCTCTTCCTTTTACCCCTAAAAAAGAAAAAAGGAGGAGATAAATGGTCAGGAGCCAGAAACAGGACTCTTCAATATTTGTTTTTCAAATTATGTTTCATATGTATAATGAAAAGATTATACTTTGTTCATTGGATTTGATCATTTTTTATTGTTCCATGCCATTTTTTCTGAGTCTTATCCAGGGCCTAATGTCTTGTCTTCCTTTTACTCTTTATGTTATATCATCTCCTTTTAGTTCCTACACCACTCTTAAATATCTAAAAGTGTAGTTCCCTGCCTTTTACAACTTTCCAGTTGCCATTCTCCCCATTGGTTAGGTTTATTTATACTGTTTGATTCTGACCCATATGTCATTTTTGACATCCTAAGCCATTATTGCTTTCAGTACAAATACATTATTTCTTCTGAAATCAGAGTATGATCTTGAATCTTTTTTCTTTTGAAAGGTATTTTGACACTGTTTTAGCAATTTGATGTTTTTATGTTTTCTTCATGAAGTGCTTTAATAGCATTTCAACAGATTGTTTTGTATGATGATAGATATTATGAAAATTAATTCATCCTTGCCTGGTAATTGTATATAGGAAAGTAAAAATGTATTGAATGAGTAAGTTTTCAGGTTTAGTATTAATAATTCTTTGTAATATGTGCTAAAGACTGCTTTTCTTAGTTTTGTTTTGTGGAGAAGTCTGAAGAATAGAGAATTAGGCAAAGTTTCTGAATTTGGTTTACTGGGAAGCATACTTCATAGAGAGTATATGGTAAACTCTTTTAAGATCCCTGTTGGAGAGCTGGCTTTTAATGGTGGTAAATGGTACCTATCTGTCAGACATCATCTATTCTATGAAGTGTTTGCAGAAAAGGCCTTTTTTTTTTTTTTTTTTTTCCCAGTTTCTCTCCTCATCTACTTCTGGATGCCAATACAGAAATAAATGAGGACAGAAATTATGTTTTACGTATGTTTGTAGCTCTGGTTCCTTGCATAGCACTCAGCACATAGAGAGTAATTAAGTGGAATG